TGAAAAATTTAAAAAAATGTTTTTGGTGTGAATTTGTAAACAATTTTTTTCGTGAACTTTTTTATACGACAGACGACAGTTAGAACGTTACATACTTCTTGACAACCCCCCTCCCCCCCCTATGTTACCTTTTGTTACAATTTTTCAACCCCCCCCCCCCCCTAAAATGCGAACGTAATAAGTGAACGGCCCCTTAATAAAAATAGAAAAAGTTCGAAAAACCCAATTTCAATCATTTGATGATATAACTTCCAATAGGGTTTTCCCTCATCAACTGCTCACGTCATACAGTCATACGTCGCTGATAAAATTCCAGTTACTCTTATATGTATTTGTAGCATTTGAGGTTTTATGAGTAATTTTCAGAAGTTTAATAGCTTTATTTTAATGTAGTTCACTTGTTGATTCAGCTAGTGCAAAGCTGCAAATTCCTAGAATAACAAAACCACAAAAATTTATCGTGTGCACAATATTACATACTTATGAACATCATGTCTACTTGTTCGCGAGAATTAAATGTACATCTTTAAAAATCTGTAATAGGATGCATCTGAAAACATTTAATACTTGAAAGACTATATTAAATATCCAATTTTAGCAGCCCTAGTCACACAACTATGTATTTATGCGGAACTGATTGACTTTAAATTTTTTTTTCAACTTGGCATTCATTTAGTTGTTCAATGTTCTGATGATCGATGTGCATATAACTTTCATACATTCATTTCGTCAGAACTGACAAGGCTAATGTCGGCATGTACTTTTTTAACAAAAAAATATATATAAATTACTTAACAAAGAATATCATCGACTTTAACACAAAAAATAATGAAAAATACGAGTTCTACTACAAAAATATTATTTTTTATTTCGACAAGGTAAACTACTGAAAAAAAAATTAAATATAAAGAAAAACTTTAGCTCTATGAGCACAACAAAGAACAAGCAGCATTGCGAATTTGTTTGCTTATTTTTTTTTATTTATTTCTTTGTCTTAAACAGATCTCGAGAATTTTTTACGATGTTTTGCACAAAAAAGTGTGGAGTTGATGGCATTTTGGGTGCTTGCTAATTAATTTCTGTTTAACTTGCTAATGATTTATGAATGTTGATGAGATTGTGATGTATAATTATGGATATTATTAATTTCTTTATGGTTGATGTCAGTTGACTGATTTGGTATTGAAACATATTGTGTGATAATAAAACTTAATTTGATTTGATTTTGACATTTATGGATATTGAGATTAAGTTTTGCCATCTTTTAGAATCTAAATGAATAAGTTTATTGTTAAAGCAAGCCACAAAACTCACAATATATTGAAAAAACTTTTTGAGGTGAGAAAAATCTTAAGTCACTTGTTTTAAGAAAATATTCAAATTAAAAAAAAAAAGATACGTTATTTTTTATAGTTTTAAACAAAATCCTAAGAAATGTGCTATTGTTCATCTTACTAACGTTGAAAGCCACATTAGCTGTCATTTTAGTGCGTTATCAGCAAACTAATACGCCAACTGATTTCGTTGCTGTACATTATATATTATTTCGTAGTTTTAAATTCATAGACAACACTGACAATGTTTCTTCATTCTAAACTGATGTTATTCAACAAGCGCATTACAATTGACACAGTTTTTCTCTCGTGCACTCACACCCCTTTTTCTTCTTTTTATTATGTTTTTCTTACTCTTTTGTTACTCATAAAACTTGCTCGCATAAGAATTGAGAAAAATTGCAGCACATAAAAGGAAGGGTTCGTTGAACTCTTTTCGTTTTGATCCTTCAACTGATGTAACCTCATATTGTAATGCATTATTGCAGGTTTTTGATTAAGTAGGGGATGTTTTTTTATCGTTTAAGATGTAGACAAGTATGAAATACGATGCAAAGTTAGGTGAAATAACTGTTACAGGTTATTTTATGATGATTCTAAGGCTGAAAGGAGATTATTGGTTGATTCTATTGACAAATGTCATAGTTGTAAGGTTTTAAACTTTACCGTTTTATTTGAAATTTAAAAATTCATCAAAAATGTTCAAAAACACGTGTTTTTAAAATTATCTCACCTCAAAAACGATTTTAATATTATTTCCAATATAACATATTTTATTCAAGTTCTTCACTAAGATCTTGACTCAAAAGAGTGACAAGCAACAGCGAAGATTCCAACTGATTCAAACGAACACTAAACAAAGCCATCATCAACTTCAATCAACCCCGATCTAAAAACACAAATGCAGCTCAAGAAAACAAAAAAACTTGCTGAAAATAGACACGCAAAAAGAAGAATAAACAAAGGAATTTTTTTAAATATTTTTTCATTTCATAGTTTGTTGTTTTTTATTGACAAAAAATGTGTGTTTCTTTTTTTTTCTTTTTTTTCTAAATTATTTTATCATTATTATTATTAATATTATTATTATTTCTTTATCTCCTTCAAATAACATTATTAATAACAGAAATTTTTTTTTGTTGTTTTTAGCCTTAAAAAATAAAAATGTTCCATTTACGAATTAGTTTTTGTGTCTGTTACCAACTTTTTACAAATCAATTTTTGCTTTTTTTAAAAATATAATAATATTCACTATCCACATTTTCTTATTAATTTTCTAATATTAATTCTTTAAAGTTAAATATAAATTAAACATTTAATTGATGTACTTTTTCTTGTGTTTTCATATTTTGTAGTTTCTACTTTAAATTTTTTTATAGTATTTCCTACAAGTTTTATAAAACTATTAAATATAAATTTATGTATATAAATAAAGTTATTGAAATGACACAATAGAATGATTTTTTATTAAATTTTCTCAAGGAGGATGTGGAGAGTGCTGTGGATTCTTGATTTCTAGTCATTGCAATTCTTTTTGATGATACACATTACTTATCATGAAGTATGATCTAGGATGCCCTTATCTTTAATTTTGAGGTAGCTCTAATGAGAACCTTTCATATTCCTATCAAAATTTCGTATCAATAAGGGTGAAAAAAATTCGTTATACTGAATAATCACCCCAGGTTGTGAATCAAGTGATTTTATGAGGGTAATCAAAAATTATTCAGGGCAGTTTTAATAACTTGACCATTAGAAATTTAAAACTTGCATCCAGAGATCCTGAATTGAAGATATTCCTTTATAAAAGTAAGTCACTTTCAATTCATCTTACATTTAAATAAAATGCAGGGCAAATCTCCATAAATTTGATGCGTCAGCTTGAAGGGAAATCGACACTATAATATAAAAGTCATAGAACTACAAAGCAACATTGTAGATCTGTTACAAGCTGCAAATTATAAATCCACTTCAGTATGAATTTATTTTTATTACATTTTAAATTTAACCTATATTTTTTTCTTGTTAAATGTTCAAATTAATGTAATTCAATGCATCAGTTTGTGAAAAAATTAATTGTGAGTTATGTCGCATGGTTCATGCATCTAGAAATAAGATTTTTTCTAGATTCATAAATTATTGACTAGCAGCTTAAGGCAATGTCATTAAAAAACATCCTAAGAGCTCAAGAAATCATTAAATCCAGGCACATTCCTTTAAAGATAAATTTATACAAATAAATCGCAGCCATTAGAAACCATACACCCCCTTTGATTTTCGTTTCCAGTTAACTTATCATTATTAAAGTTTTTTTGCATTTGAATTTAATAAAAAAATTTTTAAACATCATTTTACTCGAAGAAGAAATCGCATTTCATGTGAGTGTGTGTGTTAGGAAGAACAATAAAGGAAATCGAAATAAAAAATAGAAAAACGCAAAATAAATTGACGATCACATACAAGTTAAAAAAGAATTGAATTTTTACTTGAAAAATTCATAAAACATTTGTTTCAATTTATCTGCTCTATAATTAAATTTTCTTCTTCTTAATAAAACTCTTTTTTCTTTCAATATGAAACGATCTCATTCATGAAATACAGAATACAGATCAGGTAGATGTGAGAATATAAAAAAAAAAAACATGGGAAGGAATAAAGAATAATCGATTATAATTTTCAATCGATTAAAAATAGTTAAAAGAATGAAATCATCAAAATTTTTTCTCTTTAATTAAATTTATCATTTATATACAATAATTATTATTAATTAGATTTCTTTTTATTAGTCAATTCAGTCTATGCTCTATTTAAAAAAAAAAAGAAGTATAGAATATATGGAAACAGAGGAAGAGAGAAACGTGAAAGGAAACAGTTTTTAATTGTGATTGTGAATAGAAAAAGAAGTTTTTAGTTGATTCAAAGTAAGACAGGAAGTTTTTTGGGGTTCATTACGGTAGCATGATTGAGCACTTTGAATGTTATTGATGACTTTAGTATGGAAAAGTAAAAACTAGTATTAATGGTCATGATCTGGATCTTCAGAAAGTAAAATTTGACCTTACTAGTCGCGCATCCTATCTTTAGATTGAATCATACATACTTAACAATGTATCATGTAGCATAACATACTTAAAGATAGTAAGTAAGTAAATAATAAGAGTCATAAGTTTAGCAAACCGTCTCATAACCTCAAAACATTCCCAACATACCTCGAAACTCAACCGGAAATTGAAGCATTAAAAAATTTCTCCACTCAACAAATTCATTCATTTTCTCATGCAATAAGAGTAGTGTACATGTGTAGCATAAGGAACTATATTGTATTGAAAACTATAATTCATAATTAATTAATTTTTTTCTTTTATGTTAGAGCAATTTTTTTACAGTTTTTCCTTTTGCAACATTTTATAATTGAATACTTTTCATTCTGTTTCTTATATTGTTGAGAAGAAGCAAATCTTCTATATAATTGTAATTGCACAGTTAGTTGAGAAATAATGGAAATGAGAAAAAAATGAATGTGGGATCAAAATTATATAATGCTGTCAAGAATTGTTCTGAATCAGCTTTAAAGTTTGTTGATTCCAAATGAAAATTTTTCCAAAAAAAAATAGAATAATTAAAGCCAATAAAAATAGAAAAATTTCCAATTTGGTTATGGATAGCTAAATAGACAGATAAAAAAAGTTTATAGTTTAGCTTAAAGATAAGAGAAATAGAATTAAAATTGTACTTCATTTGTAGCATTTTCTTCTTTAAAAGAAATATTTTTGCACAGCAAAAACTTTTCATCTGTGCATTTTGTAAGAAATTATTTCAATTAAAATATAGTCAAGATGAAAAAAAAAATAATAATATTATTATAGTTTTGAGAGGGAAGAGCAAAAAGTTACAAAAAAAATATATAACAAAAAATGTTTTTTAATGCAAAATAAATTAAATTAGCTGATGTAAAAAACAAATAAAAAAACTTGCTAATTTACAACAAGTGCATCAATTATTTTTCATGAGAAATCAATTTTTTCATTGCTAGATGAGGAAGTTGAAACAACTACGAAAAGCCACAAGTATTTGGTCAGTTTTTATCAAAAAGTTTTTTTTTTCGATAAGTAAGTTCGTGATAAGAAGTTACATCAGTAGTCAACAAAAAAAAGTTTATTTTAAAATTATAAAGACTTTTAGCATTAGATAAGAAGTTCCTGATTTCACTGAACAGAAAGAAGGCTTTTGAAGGCTAAGTTCTTGCGAGTGTCTAAAACCCCCGCAAAATCCTTTTAAAAAAATTCAACAAAAAAAATTGATTTCAAATTCACATAAAAATTCTAATTAGTGGTCTCCTAATAATCACATAATTTTGTTTTTAAATCGCTAGAGTCCAAATCTATTGGTCTATCGGTGTATCATCCATATCTAAATTGGTTTGTATGTGTGCATTTTAAATTCCTCAATTTAAATCGTATTCACTTCCACCACCATTCATTTCACTATCATCACAATCGTTATCGCCGTGCCATTCAGGAACACATTGATCGTCATTTGTTGAACTAGTCTTAGAACTTATCACTTCACGGTATTCATCATCTTGCTTAAGCCATGGATGATAAAGAATGTCTTCACTTGTTATTCTCTCCTCGGGATCGCGACGCAGTAAGGCACGAATTATGCAGCGTGCCTTTGACGAAAGACATTCGGGCACAACATAAACACCTCTTGATATTTTCGCAAATAATGACGCATGTTCTGAATCATTGAACGGATATCTGTAAATGGAAATAAAAGAAAAAAAAAGAGAATTAATAAAAATTATTCATTAATTAATTATTCAATTCACACACATAGATGAATATTTCCTTTTACTTCAATAAGAATCGGTGAGTCGTAATGAATGAAATATGAGAAGTAATCGACATCATCATCAGATTACAAGCTAGCTCGTATCAGTATTCCATCATACTTCATCAAAAGGGCGCTTAATTATTTTATAATAATGTAATAAATTCCGCTTGTGATAAGCGCATTGCAGTGCGATAACACAAAGCAACAAAAAAGGGAAAAAAATTACAAATTATTTCTACTTGATTGATAACGAGGAACAAAGGCAATTTTTTACTAATTTGGCGTCAGGCGGGGAGCGAAAAAATAAATAATATTTGCTGATGTAACAAAACAAATATCATGAATGACTACTGCATTGTTTTATGTGGAAACAAGTAGTTATTGTAGGTGAAATGTGAATACTTTATCAGGATAAAACTAGATTATCTTACTTTAAACTGTGAATTTAGAATTTTTGTCTAAAATGTTCAACGGATTTTTTCATTTTGAAATATTGTTTTTTCATTTTTGCATTTTTTTTCTCACCTCGAAAAGTGTTTATCAATTATTTCAGCTAGTTAGCACAATTCAAGCCGTTCTTTTCGCCAAAAACATTGAAAAAGTTGGCAAAAACAAATTCCAACTACTGCAAGTGTAATTAGTCAACCCATTTTTATCGCAAAACAGTTTCCAAGTTTTTCAAAGGAGAAAAAACTACGACGAAACTCATTAAGAAATTCGCAAAAAGATGCTTAAATCACTTCACAAACATTGCATGTACTGTAAATACAATTAAATGTTTACAAGCAGAACATTTAATGCAGTAATTCTTCGGAATTCTCATTTGCTGCGCTCATAAATGCATTGTGACGCATCTTCTTTCAAAAACAGACTGACTAATAGACAAGAAAATATGATGGGCTATAAAATCTTTTCAACCACTTAAATCATGTTAATTACGCACACTCTATAAATAATTAATCCCTTAATTTTTCTTTCATTGTGTAGGCTGACTGAAAAATTATTATTCAGTATTATTTTTCATGATTTTTAATAAGGCAAGTGGCCTCATTCTAAAAAAATTGTTATTATGATTATTATTAATTCACACAGTTCCTAAGCGACAGCTTGTTATTATTTTTTTATTCAATGAATGGCAGCAAAAATATGCGTGAATGAACTGAATGAACAAAGCAAATCAATTTCTGACTTTTTTTTTTCTTCGTCTTTTTATGGAAAACTTAATAATCAAGCAGAAAAAGGCGGTTTACATTTTGTGTCTTTTAGAATTGAATTTTTTAGATAAATGTATCTTGTCGTAACTGACTTTTTTTCTTCATTTTGGTTCCAAAAACTTTTAGCACCTGCCTCATGTTTGGCATGAAATTCGAATTTTTTGCATTATTTTTATGCTTTGTTCTTCATTCGATCATCGCCTTCAGGCTTTAAGAGAGCATTTTGGTTGAATCTTCTTCTTCGGTATCTCCTTATGCTTATTATTATTCTACTTTATATTTTATACATACTCAAAAAATACGTAGATCGAGAATTGAAAATGAGGCTTTGAAATTGGAAAGAATCAAAAGAAATGAGAATAAAAATACTAAACAGATGTTAAATATTCGTTAAAAAATATAAAAAGTTCTCATTTTGAATAAAGTTTTAAAATGGAATAAGAAAGACATGAAAATTAATCCTGTTTTTGTACATATCCTTTTGATCCATCTGCATTTGATTTCTTCACCCACATTGCACTATTCAATCTCTCATTGTGGTAAATTGAAAGGTAGGAATGAATGGAAAGGAAGTGAAATGAAGTTTTTTTATGTAAATCAAAATGTTACGATACATAAAATTCAACAATCAGACATAATGGAGAAAGAGTGAAGGCATTCCAATCATTCAATATTTATTCTTCCCAAGACATACCCGCGCTATGAATTGAATTACAGGCCAAGGTGATCAAATACAGCCTTAACTGGTGTTTTATGAATCAATTTTGTGTACTTCAATTTTGAAAGGATTTTTTGTTGCTGTGCCTGTGTACAAGAATGTTCGTGACGCCTTCCTATACAAATTATTCTTACTGCCTCAATTATTCGTGGGATTTGCCGTTAGTTGTGCAAAATTAACTGTAAATTATTTTTTTTGTTGTTCCTTAAAATTGAGCACTTCAAGGCTATGAACACTTCCGGCACCCATGAAGAGACACAACTATTCCGTAATAGACAAAAAACTGACCTGCGATAAGGTCCTTTGAAAAATTATTAAGGTACGGAAGTTGATGTCGTAAAATTAGACACAAAACTTTTTTTCTATCTTTCACTTCCATTCAATTGCATTTGGTTCTTTTGTGAAAGTAATTTTTGTATTAGACGTGCATTGCCAACTTTCTCATGAGTTCATCATCGACTCAATTCGATTTTATTGAAGAAGAAGTTAAAAGAAGCAGTAACTCACCTTCCCACGAGCATTGTATATAGAATCACACCAAGTGACCACATGTCAGCAGCTTTGCCTGAGTATGTAGTATTTGCTCTTAAAATCTCTGGGGATACATATGCTGGACAGCCTCTCTTGTCGTGTAGTAAATCTTCTGTTGGATTATCAAGCACTATCGCATCCTCTAAGGACTCTAATTTAATATGTGTTCTGGAAATAAAATAAAATAAAATTCAACTTTAATCAAGTGTTGGACATGTCATAAAATTCCACAGTTGTCTTCAATTCCTTGCCATAAAGTTTTAAAGCATGCAAAAGTTGCAGTTTTGTGGTTAATAAATTCAATTTTCTACAAATTAATGCTCAATTTTGAAAAGAGCTAGACCGACTCCTAGACAGCCTCAAGCAAAACACTAATTGTGTCTATTCCAAGGACAAATTAGGCAATTTTTATTGTAGTGCCATTTAAGGATGCACGTACATAATCTTAATTATAGTCACTTCCATTATTATTCCATTTTTGGCTATCTTATTGTGCCTTAATTAGTCAGCCAAAAAGTTTTCTTTTCATTTATTCATCATAATGCTCATGTGAACAATTTGTGTGGTTTATCGATCATTATTATTTTTGGAAGTCTTTCAAATTCTTTTCATTTCTATTTCGATGATTATTCATTTTGGACAGCAAGCTCAATTGATGATTAAATATTTCGCTATGTCGCAAATTCCTGATACGAACAATTCATGTTCGACAGACTTATCGAAAGTCTAGGGGAGTTATAATATGCACGTTCGAAAAGTTTAAATTTGAAAGAAACCGTTACAATTTTAGTGATTTTATTAGAGTTTTTGATCGTTTTATAAAAGATTTAGCTATATTATGCTGATCATTAAATGACTACATAATATTTTCGTCTATATTTCATATAAAACTTGTTTAATTTAAGTTTTTATTTATTTGTAATTTTCGAAAATTTCGAACTGAAGGGTATGAAACTTCGAATTTTGTATGGCAGACAGACAAATAAGACATTTTCACAAGTTTACTTGGAAACTGTAACGGTCGAAACTCTTGAATTGTTCGTATCAGGCAAATTCAAATTGAGGATTGTTGATAGTAAATTTAAAATACTTTCAATAATAAGATTGTGAAATTTATGCATGAAAACGTGAACAAAGAACGAGAATGGCTTTGTTTACCCTTTCATCTATTTTGCATACAATTAAAATGCCAAAAATTTACATAGCTATCAAATAGCATTATAATTGATGGATAGAATCAGAGCTGATGAATTTTTCATCAAATTGCAGTTTTACAAAACTCAAAAGTGTGACTTTAGCAGTAAAGTTCACTTAAAAATGGAAATATACGCGTGATTGATTCACCTCTTATTGAGGGCAATTACTTTCAAATATGCAAAGTGTCTTCATCTTCTTCTTTCACTTTTATATATTAAAATTAAACTATTTAAGCCTGTCTTCTTTATAATTTTTACGATTGCTTTTTTATTCATCAACTTTAAATTTGTTTTTCAAATGAATTTCCTTTCATCACCGAAACAGCAAAAAAAGAAAAGAAACTTTCGATGTAAAAGTAAATTTTTAATATTGCTCACGTTTATGCCACAAAGCGAAAATGAAAATTTAGTCAGTGGATTCGAAAGTAAGTACATTAAAGCTGTTGCCAATATAACAATGATCGATGTCACGTTGTGGCATGAAATGAATTGAGCATATGCTTTTTTTGCGGAATAAGAAGCTGTTGGCGCATTTTTTGGAGGCACCTGGATAAACTTGAGTATAATTCATAACTCTAGATGTTCAATCAGCAAAGATAGAAAGGGGCCGTTCAATTATGACGTCCGAAATTAACGGTTATTTTTCAAAAACAAACAATGGATTTCCAGGAATTTCTATTGTTCTTTTCTGTCGGACCCCCCCCCCCCCCCCTTCCTGGACGTCATAAGTAAACGACCCCAAAGGAAATACGAGTAAAAGCAATAGGAATTCTAATTCAATTTTGGTCATTGACCTGTTCCTCAAAAATTTTCAAACACCCCAAAGTGAAGCACCTTACAATCTAAATTAGCCGCTAAAAATTCATAAAAGCCAAAGACCTGAAGAAACGATTGACAACTGACGGCTATTGTGTCATATGAATATTTCTAAATCATATATTTCTTTACTTTTCATTTAAATTAGTGATAATGAGTCATATAAATGCAAAAACGTTTAAGTATAAAATAAAAAAATACTATTTATGATGTAATTTATTTATTTTTTTGCTTAAAAGTAAAATAAATATTAAGCATATTGTGCAATGAAAGTTATTTTGAATATGTAAGCTACGTCGACAAGCGACGAATGTGTCAATGAACCTTTCGGTGCTTTTACTTTACATTAGCAAAAGCCTTATACCAAACACGAATTAAATTAACTCGAAAAATTTCTCAAATAATTTTTATTTCATTATGTATATAATATTTCGTGAAAATAACTTGAAACTATCAAAACAGACAGAAGAGGTGAATAGAGAAAGAAGAAATAAAAAACTTTCACTCGACTTCATGTCTAATGATTATAATGCGAGATGGCGAGAAAGGAAAGACATGAAATAGATATTATGAAAAAGCTATAACGTCGATGTACCCATAAAAAAATTGTTTTTTTCATTTTGAGGGAATAGGAGATTATGAATGCATCACATTTTTGCTTGTGAATTATCGACTGTTTCGTTGCCAAGTGAGGAACATTAATGTTATGTGAGGAATTTTATAGTGAAATGTCACTTTTATGAGTTTAAATCTTGTAGATTTTTGAACTCATATCGCGTCAATATTTCAGGAATTTTGTAAAATTATCATCGAGAATGCCATAACTCAGTCAATATTCAGTATTTGTAGAGCTTTCAAGAAGGCCATTTTGTGCAATAAAACTAATTTATTAAGTCTTGAGTACATCACGATTTTCTTGGAATATTCAATGACTTCTCAACTTACAAAGTCTATTAATTGTTGCTATGGACACAAATCAAGAACTCTAGAACTTTATATCATCTGTAAGTGTCATAAACTCTTAAACTCCAGCATAAATATGAATGGTGATCACCTCACGACTTTTGTGAATATTCATGATTACTCATCGAGGTGTTTGCATTGTGAAATTGCCACACTAGAGAGTTGAATAAATTTTTCATTACGATTGTAATTTTATTTTCGAAATATCGTACAAGCACAGTTTTTTTATGGACTCTATGTAGGTTATCGTACGAAACTAAATTGCAAAATTCAATTCAAGCGAGAATTTACAATTTTCAATTCTACTTAATATCTCTAGAGCATGAGCGAGAACTAAAAATTCTAAATTCCCTCTTTCCATTAATAGGAGATTATTTTCATTACTTAAATCAATCAATCTACTTAAAAGCATGCTCATAGCATTAGAGTATATCTATCTACAATACATGAAACAAAAGAGGTATTTAAACTAGTTTAAACTAACGACTGATAATAAATTTGCACAATTATATTTATTTTTTTCTAATGTAGGACAAAAAAACAAGCAAAGTAGCAAGAGAGCCCTCGACATTATTATTAAAAGCTTTAATTAAATGCTCGTTGTTAAAAAAAATCCATTAGATAAAGAAAGAAATACGAAAAAAATGAATATTCACAAAAGGCAATTTATGCAATTTTTGAGCAACAATAGAATGGCCGTGACCGCGATAAAAAAAATTATTTTGCAGAATGTGGTTTTTGAATCTGACTCAATCTGGTTGGAATAATTCACAATATTAAATGAGAGAAGAAGAAGGAAAAAAAAAACATTTTCATTAACTTCACGAATTTGCCCGCTTTATTATTATTATTAAATTACACTATGTCGTCACACTCAATTTGACATTGACGAATGAACAACCTAGAACGTCTCCTTCAAAAGAATTATAAATATTTACTTGCATAAATATTCGAATACTACCACATGCATATTATGTGAAATTTATATATAAATACATAAGCCGATGATGAAAAAAGGTTACGCAGATAAACAAATTTGATTATTTCACATTTTCTCACTTTCCGTCTCACTCTCGCTTTACAAATTAAGAATGTAATCTAAACTACAAATTTTCACGAGATCAAAACCAATACGGTATGGCATATATGAATGTAAACATTTGACTCTCATGATTTCGATTACGAAAAAAATTAATATATAATACATTATATTTTTGCGAAACGATAACTTTTCAATGTGACCGAGAAACTACGCAGCAATATGAGAAGAGAATTGGCAACAAGAAAATATAAAAAACGAGTAAATGTGTTAACATAATCAAAAAAAAAATGAAACAAAGCGATATATTGACAACTGTGAGCTGTTTGATACATTTGTGCTTGAAAACGAAATTTAAATTAGTCTTTTAGAATTTAACAGATTTTTAAAATTTAAACTTTTCTATGTGATAAGTTTTCTCACTTCAAAAAGTTTTTCTGAATTCATACTAATTTAAAAGGCTTTAGAAAGACAGTAGAAATTGAGAATTACTCAAAAAAGTGGCAACAATTTAATGCGACTAAAGCGAGCCCACAAATATTTGAGATTCTTGTTTATTTTTCATATTCACTCAAAGCCACGTGGCAGTTTAACAAAATTTCAAAAAAATCTGAAGACATCATTGCATATGATTTTAAAAACCTTATTAAGATCTTAAGAAACAGTTAAGTAGGCCTATATTGAACAGAAAGTTTAGTAATTTATCCTCAATACTTCAAAGATTTCATCAAATTACTCCATCATGCCCAAAAAATAATTTTGCCATGCATTTTCGCCAATATGCCGCCGAAATGATTTTTTTTTTGTCGATTTCACACACTCAATATATTTTTGTTAAAAAAACCTTGAAACCAGTTTCATATAAATAATAAAAATGATGATAAGATAAGGCAGATATTATGTATAACATGTTATTGTTTAATATAACCACCGAAGGTCTTATTTCCATTAACAAAGATGTTGCAAAATTTTTATACATTTCGATAATGCTCACAGCTCGTGTGTGGAAGTAGCAACAAAATAAACGAAAATAAATGAGCGACTAAGAAATAAACTTGGTAGCACTTTGCGAAACTATTTCACACAGCGGAATTTATGATGTAGAAATTAGTTAAACATTAATATTGCCTTACAAACATAAGCATAACTGCCAGCATGTATGAATATATTGAGATGAAAGAAAAAAATCTTTAAAAATAACTTTTTTTTTGAGAAATTACAGATTTTTTTTTTTTATTTTACAAAAGCCACACCTACACGACTAGCAAATATTTCATAAAAATTAATTTTTCATCTACTCATTCATGCTTCATGTTCCTTCAATTTTTTTTTTTTTTTTACTACACTAGTTAAAAAAATCAGCAAAAAAACGCGAAATTACTGTGTATTGTACACAATTTCCTACTGTAAAAACAGCACAAAGCGATAAACAAAGAGAATAGAGATGATTTCTCAAATAAATCATTTCATTTTGATGGTTGCCAAAATGTTGGCGTCGTTTCGCGATTTGCCTGGTTGGGATTGCTAAAATTAAAAATCCCCTATGGCATTTATTTTCACATCGCTCTGTCTTTCTAAATCTTACATTTTCTTCTCAAACTCACGGTTACTTCATAATGTATGAATAAGCCAAGTGCGTTTTTTTTAGAAAACAAGTATTATATATGAGGAAAGCATGTAAAGAGGAGAAAGAAAGCGAATAAAAAATAAGAAAGAAGAAATTTTATATAAGCATACATATATTTGGTTGAATGACCTCAAATGAAGCTCAATTTCTTTAATTTTATGCTCCTATAAGATTTTTAACATGTTATGTCCAGTTAATTGGTTTAAAATTTTGTCACGAGATAGCCACAATCGTCATCTTCATAATAAAATGACGAAAATTCTGAGAACCTTATGAACACGACGTAGAATATCTTGGAATTATTATAATTTTTTTTGATGACGTGACTAGGTCTTGTTGTTGTTTTTTTGGTAGGAATGAGTAATGCGGTTGTTTTTGTTGACCAAATATTACTCGTTAATTGAATGTAAGGATGGATTAACTTTAAATTATTTTGTTTGTCATGATTCAAGAATTTTTCAAAGAGGCACGAGACCAAAAGGTACAAAATTGATCACGTTCATCCACTTTTCCAACTCAATTTAGAAGCAAACTTAAATATTTAACATTAGGTAATACAGAAATGGTTTAAACTCAGATCCTGTTAGCATTTAACAAAGAACTTGATACTCATATCTTATTAAAACGACTCCTCTAAAATCCACTTAATCCCACTCAGAATGATTCTAACATCGTGAACAGGTTCAATGAAATCATCAAAGCTGCTTAATAAATGATTCATAAGGAATATGTTATATGAACTAGTACCCAAAGCGACTCTCAACAAAGTGCATTATTCCTTATTCAAAAAGCAATCTCACTTATATAAATATTTGACAATGATAGTACAAGACAAGATATATAGATGTGCTCATACAAAAATATCGCAGTTTTTAAACGTCAAAAATTTGAATATTCTAAAAACACTAACACTATAAAAGAAAATTTTCAATTTTTGTTTTGCAAAATTTTCAACTTTCTGTTAAGTTTTGTTGATACAGGAGTATTGCAAATGCTTTGCTATAATTTAAAGAAACTGACTTAAGACAAATGTTGTTGCATCTGTCAATATTTAAATGAAAACTTGAAAATAGAAAATTTTAAAAATTTTTGTTTGTATAAGTACACAAAAAATAGTATGGTCGAGTATGGGCAAGTATACTCTGTATGAGCACATCTATATATCTTGGTACAAGATATAAGGCACGTGTACCTTATGTTTCTCCCTTAAATAATTCAAAAATCATTTGAATAAGTCTTTGTATCACAAAGAGTGCATGTCTGCAGGAGTGACTCTCTTAAATATCAATAATTTTGTCTCAATCATGCAATAAAAATGACAAAATAAATAATAAAATAATGGCAATGTTTACATTTCGTCACATTCTTTCAAGTTCTTTATAACTAACTGTAACTATTAAGCAATGATTCTATTGCAATATATGTAAGAGAAATATCTTATAAGCATTGAAACACGATGAAAGAATTTTTCATTTCACAACGTTACTTGTATATGAGCCAACATCAGATTTCTACTTTATTATTTTATGCTATATAGCAAGCTTCTCTCTCTTTTTCTCTCAAGCTAGCGCTCAGCCTCACACTTTATATATATGCGCCTCTGAGTTTGAAAATATGCCTTAACGATGTGTTGGTGAATAAATTTTTTATTCATAACTTTTCTTTGTTTTGGTGTGTCTGTTTCGAGTTGTATGTTTTGTATTTTCAATGTCGAAACAATAATAAATTGAGAAAAAAAAATTCAAAGGCAAAAAAAAATATTTCGTAGCTCTAATGACGACAGAGATTTGGCAAGTTTATTACTCAACGTGTCACAATTGTGTGTACATTAAATATACGATTGTTAATGGCTCGTATCACAAAAATTATTTTTGTTTCAAGTACGATTCTTATATCATTTATCAGCTCTACGTGAATGATAAATGGAATTTAAATTTTTCAAGAGCTGATGAAGGAGAAATAAAAATAAAAAATTCTGACTTTTTGCGGTTTGCGGCTGTTTTTCGTGTGTATGCGCTAATTTTTTTTTCTTTTTGTTTTTCCTCTCTCTCTCATACTTGACGTATCTATGACAATTTATGTGCGATAAACATATGGCAAGGTATTTAGTTTCAAGTGGTTAACAGGGAACTGGAAAAAATAAATCAATAATATTATACAACTTACCGTTCAGCATCTGCAAAAACGAATTTTCTAAGTTTGAGATCACGCAGTACTATTCCTTGTTCATGGCATGTCTTAACTACTTCACACATTTGACGAAATAATCGTCGAGCTTCATTTTCACGGAGACGTTTTCGTACTCGAACATGTGAATGGAGATCACCCTATAAAGGAATTGGAAAGAAGAGACAAATTGAATGATTATTCAATTGAGCAAGTAACAGATTAATAAGTTCATCTTTTATGAAATGCATTTTCTTCTATCACGAGTTAGACAAGGTGAGAGACTGGCAAACAGGCTAAGTTTGTTAATGACTCATGCATTCATATGAGGATAAAGTTATAAATATGAATACATTTTCAAGTTTCTAAGCTCGGCTAGTCACTCGAAATGCATAGAAATTAAGTGGCAACTGTCTATCAGTGCTATACAGCACGATTAAAACTTATTTGCAATAAATATAGTATCAGATTAATTACTCAGCATAGCCATGTGTTGAATTTATATTCAGGTGGTTTAGTCAGGCAGAATTAAGCTGGCATTGGATGCTCAGGTAAGAATTCAGTCCATTTCTTCTGTTTATTTTACTTTCTTGTGTTTATTGCCTGAGTTCTAGTCCAATTCGAAAAATAACCTTGAAAGCAGCACAACCACCTCAAATCTATCCTTATCTCTTTACTATAAACTTGCTATAAACACCGTAAATTCACGTATGTAATGTCAAATGACCTAACAAGCTTTATCATCTCAAAATTGACATTTTATTTTGTTCCTTATCTTAATTCTCTTTTAATTTTAGCACTCGTGACTGTTTACAAAACTTTTAGCGTGCCGAATAAGCATTTAATCCCGATTTAATTTAATCATTCTATACAAATGCTTTCTAGGTAGATTATTCTCGTGATAGGAATTGAACTCTTCTCATTGGCAACAAAAACAAGCAATTAAACATAAAAAACACTTAAAAGTTTATTACGGACAATTAAATGCTGAATAGGAGCATTTTCATGACTCGACAAAATTCTCGATTACGACAGGTGCCAGACATTTGAGCTACCGACTGAGTTACTAATTGAATCATTACAATCGATTCTTATAGGACTAAATAGTCAGAACAAAAACACCTTAAGATGGGTTAATGACTTTTCTGCAAAAATATAATTATGCACTTTAGGATTAAGATTCTTACCTGTGATGGTTCAAAAAATAGATAAGACTGTGTTGAATTTTGAATGACTTTCTCGAGAAAATTTACATTTGGATGTCCATCAAGTCGAAAATGTGCAGTTAGGAGGTTTGAACATGGATTGGTTGCAATCTGTAATAAAGAAGGAAATTATTGTTGAGATGGAATAAGAAATGAAAAAAAAAGTCAATTGCATAACCTTTAGTCAAGTCTACATTATTATTATTTGCTTCTTCCCGTTTCTCGGAACAATGAAAAAAAAATGCCTCAACCGTGTTAGTATCTAATTTAAGATTTCGTTGGTTCCGTGTACAAAAAAATGTATTTCCTAGTTAGGTAATCGATATGAATTTGTGTGCTGTTTGAGAAACACACAATGAATAGCCGCTTAATCAAATAAACACCACATTATAGTTTTCATATTTTGAACGTGTGGAATTCACCGATTTCCAGTTGCTTTATACAGCCTTCACAGCACTTTACATTTGACAGATATACATATATTAAATTTATACATCTAGTAATTAGATGAATAATTCGATTCATTCATGATTTTATTTTTTTTGCAACAGACGGCGTCAGACATAGAATTGTTTATTTTAGATTTTTCTGAATGTCATTAGTTATTACTATGATTAGTCACGTCATTAATAAAGATTTTTAAATGGAGCAAGCCATAAGTAATAATTCTGTATTCTTTCGTTATTATTTTTAATATTTACTACAAAGTTGTACAGTAGCCAAACAAATTTTCATGTGGAAGTTTTGCACGCTTTACAAACATACAGTAGCAAAGTGTGAGATTTTGTTCGGAATGCTTTATATTGCTCCGTAAAATACCCCATGAAAATATCATGAGATATTTATAATTTTTTTTTTGTAAACGTGAGCGCATGAATCATATTTTAAAATATTTCTGCTTGGCGCATTTGAAAATTCTTTTTATTTTTGGACAAAATATGTGACCAATAGTACTGACTAGCCGCTTTATTCACTTCAAACAAAGAAATGTCTCATAGTGTCTGAGTTGTTTTTATTTTCACTCAGCCAAAAAACAAAGTCGAGTAAAATATTAGCTCGAGGGCAGACAGTTCAGGCGCATTTTTAGATCGTTATGTAAACTTGTCTGGGATTGATTTGAATGATTTGATCGTGATCACATATGCAATACTTGAAAAATTCTTGAAAGATTAAAAAAATTAAAAATGGCGCCGAATTTTTCACCTCGAAAAGTTTTTCGCAATTTTTTATCTCTAAAGCACGAAATTAAAAGAAATATCAGCTATTGCTTCATCAATAAAATAGCAAAAGTTGTTTATAAAAAGTGTCTTATCGCTGTGTCCTTCAATTTTAAAAATACGTCAAAGACAAAGTGAGATCATGAATAACCACGTGCTTTTTAATTTCTCATAAAAAGTCTTTTTCAATAATGAATCGTCCGATGCTATTTTAAAGAGCAACAAATGAAGCAAATAGACTCGAAAATGTGCAAAAAAAAAACTAGCAATGGTGGATGATAAAGTGTTGTTTTCTAGAAAGTAGGTTGATCAGTGGATATTTATAAGACTATTTTATAAATAAGTTTGTCATGTCTGCAGTTTTTCGCACAATTGATGATGGTGAGAATGCTGTTGGAATCATAAAATTTAATGTTCCTTTGTTCAAACAAAAAAATTATAATGTGTATAGTGTGTGGAAATAATGTGTGTATTAATTTTTATTTAAACGACTAAAATATGACACGAAAGTAATTTACCGAATCAAAATATCATGTGGAATAATAGCATTTTACATGATATAGCATGTGCTTGTACTTTTTTCCATAATATAAACGAGAGAACGAATAAAGAAAATCAATATTTTTTAACCTTGAACTTTTCTCATCATTGCTTATTTTCTCTCGCTCTTGTTCAGTATGTGTCTTCTCGCAATTTTCTTCTTTAAACAAATATGAACATTTGTGTTAAGAATCTCATTATACAATTCTCGTATGATCGTCATTAACATTACAATGAACGCAATTTTCTTGAATGAAAACTGAAAACTTAATCTCGTAGATTTCAGCAATCTTGACATTGATGAGATTTTTCAAAAGATATAGCCATAAACATATAGTTTCACTTGAATAGGTGAAGGTGATTTGAAATCTATAATTATATATCTCAAGGATTTGAGGCTGTTATTCTGAGAAATCTCAAAAAATTTCTTGGAAGGTTAATTTGCAGAGAAATAGATTTAAAGCTATAAAAAAGCGCGTCACAAATAAGAAGCAAAACTTATCATCTACTCATACGTGTTGTGGACATAAGAAAAACAAATATTTAAATTAAAAGTGGGAATATAAAAATCTTGGAATTACTGAATATCGCGTAAAGTTCTTATCGTACATGAAAAAAAAAAAGAAGTTAATGCCTGTATTCCGGATGAACATGTTTTTCTCTCGCTGTTTTTTTTTCCACATACATATCTAGCTAGCTCATTTAAGTCGGTGTTTACACACATTCAGTAGCACATTCCATGAACTTTCCACACAACACAATTCATGGGCGACGTTTTATTCTCTTTTATTGCTATTATTAAGCTATGAATGAATGAGATAAACAAACATTCAAGCCTATCGTACACAAAGAGCCAAACCTTTTGATATTACTGATTGTGCCCAGTTAGTGACGACAAGAATTCAAAAAAGAATATAATACAATAACTAAAATTACGCGATTAAAATTGTTAAGAACCAAGCCCATGCTTGCGCTCACTCGCATGGCAATCCTTAAACGCTCCTCATTTTTTTTCGTACAAATATTCCTCTTAAAAGCAATAAAGTGTAAAATGATATCACGAAAATAATATAGATTGAGATTAATAGCGAAAAAGAAAAGCCAAAAAAAAAGCATAGCTGAAAAAAGAATTCGCACTAAATTCAGTGCAGTGAACTTTCTTTCTAGATTTGCGAATGTTAGGAAAAGAAATAAGAAGGAATGTTTGTATGTTCATACGAGAGACGTATCAGGTCTATTTATAAAGTAAACAGTAAAAATAAAGATAATCTAGAAATGCCTTTACGTCATTTATGAGAGCGGTTTACTTTGCCGCAAAGTAAAGAACCAACATTTGTGTCAAAAAAATTTGCACAACTTTTGCGATAAGTTTTAAGAACGATAAAAAATTGTATTTACGCTAATGCTAAAAAAACTTTTTTTTTCGCTTGAATGCGTCTTTTTCTCGATTCTTAATAAGCTATTAAGTCTCTTCAAATTGTTTACACAAAGATTCTTTTTTTTTCGGAAATGAAGATATTGCGTTCTATTTAAATCGTCCTTGGAATTTGATTCTTCGAATCGCTAAATCTGGATTTCGAGTCATATTTTTGCGAACATTCTACATTTTTTCACGGTTTTATATGAGGCGAAACTACAGTTTCTGTTTGGAAAGACGAAGAAGCAAAAATCGTGTTGATAAAAATCAAAATGTCGAGCCGGATAAAAAATTTATGATGAATAAATAATTACCTTGCATACGAGAAGCTTTTGTGTTTGGATATCAATACATTTATAGAACGAACTTCCATCAACCATGTCAAGTAATAAATATCGATCTTGAAGAAGAGCTGCATTAAGTTGAGGTGGTTGAGTGTTTGTTGAAATGGCATCTCGATTCGCTTGTGTTGTATTACGATTAACAATTGAATTATTGGTACTTGCAGGTATTTGATTACTGCTTAATCTAGCTTGTTGTTGTTGCATAAGTTGAGAATGCAGCAACTGTTGAGATGGCGTTTGTAATGGCATAAAATTTTGATGCGTCTGTTGTTGTGTTTGAGTGACATTTTGCACTAATTGTTGTTGCTGTTGTTGTCCCGTTTGTTGTATGTGCAAGCATTGCCGATGAAATGTACATTTTTTAGCATTTGGAAGCATGCCATTTACATTATTTGTATTTGTCGTTGCCACAGTTGAGGCAACCGGATTTAGAATGTTCATGATTTGAGGCACCGTTGCAGATGACGTGCCTGACGATGAAGTTTGTGGCGGACAGACTAGAAAGCTACTCAGTCGCTGTTCTAATGATTGTTCATCGGGTTTTCGATGATCAATTCCCGTACGCGGGTAAGTTATACGAATTATTTGTTGCGGATTTTGAAACGCCGTATTTGTGGACGAAGAGTTCATCATTATCACTTAATATTTTTTTTATTTTTCTTTATTATTTTCTCAGCTCACAGATTTCTTTCTTTTCTTTTTATTTAAATAATTGCCTTTAATAATTTTTTCTTCACATTCATATATTTATATTTTGTCACAGATAATCACTTTTTTTATTATTATTCTTATCTCCTTCTTTATTTGATATTCTATAAAAAAATCTTCAGAAACACTCACATTTATAAGATTTTATTTCTTATTTTCTTTTCTTTTATATTTTTTTGATTATTATTATTTCTTTTTTGTTTAGCTTGATTTCATATTGAAGCACTTAATTTTTCTTTCCTTTATTTATTTATACACTATGAAAGACACTGTAATCCAACAGGTTTAAATTTCTGAAAATAGAAATAAGATACAATTGATGAGTTGATATAAATAAATAATTTTTGCAGTATATCCAATTTTATAAATTCACAAGCCGGTTTAATTGCGCAATATATATAATCTCTCTTTTGTTCTGTTCTTCTTCTTTTTATTATTATTATCAAAATATTGTGTTATCGGAAAGATTTAATTTTTTCATGCTGTATTATGAGTCCAATAGCTACAGACAATGCTATGAAATATTCAAATTTTTCTTATCCATTAATCACTTCATTTAATGACTCGCGATATTAATTTTTTTCATCGCAACGTAGTTTTTATTATTTTGTCAAATTTTTCCATTTAAATGAAATAATACACGTGCGCTTATTTTATTTTATATCAAGCACTTAGAAGGTGACCTTTACATTTTCTTTTATTTTCACAACTATATTATAAAAAAAAAATTCCTCCACTTGTTTATTAGAATTATTTTTCATAAGAATATTCATAAAAAACCCAATATTACGTGATATCACTCTTTCCCGTCCCTAGTGAGGCGTGCGAGAGAGTCATTTAGTGAAATTCTTAAAATAACTTATGACATGCATCACTAATGATGAATGAATTACTAATTGAAAAATCTATGATTAAAAAGCACAAATTGCAATCTTCTTAACTTGCAAGCAGCTCCTATAATGAAGTTTGTTGCTACAGAAATAACAAAAAGTATTTAAATTAAGTTTCTATGGAAACAATAGTCGTAGGCGCATTAAGTTTTTTGTGTAGTATCATTAGTGTCATACTATCAGAAATGACATTGGATAACATTTCCACATGCCGAATAATGCACGTGAGTAGTTAATCACTTATTTAAACATCGACTTGTAATATGATGATAATCAACTGGTTAGCAACAATGTCATAAAATTGACCGAGACATGAAAATTTATTTTCCAAGCTACAGTTCTTTAAATAAGAATAATGAAAGCCAAACTGAATGCATTTGTTATGCGAAAATGTGCTTAAAAAATTTCACGGCCTTCCGAATACAAAAACAACAAAATATCGAATCTGGGTAATGAGTTTTTGCTACGGAAATTGTATGACGTCACGTTATTACTTAAATACTGTGTAACGTAATCAAAAGAACGCTTTTGCAAAATAAACGTCTATTTATAGACGATTTAAAAAGTATTAAGATTTTTATGTAACACATTAAAATATTCACAGATTGTGTGAAAATGAAGGGACGCTGTGAGCATAGCGTCGTATAAGTCTGTTTAGATCAACATGTTTCAATTCTTTGTTTCACTTCACATTGAGTCACATTGAGAGAAAAAAAAAATACAATTTTTTTTTCGGCGTCGTCATCACCGCATTCATTATCTCTCTCGCACTACCAAAAATGGCCTTTTAGTTGCTTCAATTTTAATTGAACCGGATGTGACTATAATTTTTATTTTATGAAATATTTTTTTTCAAGCCTAATATCATCAATCACTTATAGGCATTATTTTTTTTTTCAAAAACTCTCATAAAATTTTTGCATGCTCGATGCGACCGAAGCATAAAACAAACTCACACAAAGGAATTTTCATTGTTTGGACCCGAGAAGCCTCGTAGACATTTTTTTTCTGCGTAAATGTTTTTTCTCAATGCGTGGCTTCAAAAATCTTCTTTTTTTTCGGATCACAATTTTAAACTTTCCACACAAAAAATAAATATATATATTGCACAAAGGAACATCTATTGTGAATTTGTCCGATTACAAAAATTGCTGACTTTACTTTTTTTACCTGTTTTTCTTTATTTTTAGAGACGCTTAAATGTTTTTATTCACATAGACTTTTTTTTTATTTTTTATTTTTTTGATATTCCAAAATAGGCTTTATTGAGCAATTTATTTCAGTATTTTTCCTTATATTCCTAAGATTTCTTGCCGTTCTATCGCGTTTTTCTATTTTATCGATGACTGTAGATGATTTTAATTATCTACTAATGTTCTTAGAATAATCCAACTCGGCTAAATAGAATAAACTTCAAGCCGGTATAACGCACGGACATAAAAGACGTCTTACTCTCACAGAAACAGAAATATTACTGAACAAAATAAAGAAAGAGACAGAGAAACGTGACAGAAAATGAAACTCAATTTTAGTTTCTCAAAAATCCGTCAGATGTAGCTGTTGTTCCTTGAAATTAAGCGTTACTGAGATTGTCTCGTGTGCGTTTTCTTCTCTTTCTCATTTTTTGATTCGTATTTTTTTACATTTCATCATTTTGCAACTTTTCAGCAGCATGATTCATGCAGCATAAATTTTTTTTTTTTGGTTCTTCCAAGAATTATTTCGTACGAGTCTCGACAGGAAATTCCGATTTTTGGCAAAATTCTTATCGATTGAGTCATGTGGTTCATGGCCATTAGTAGATCATGATAAAACTAGTGTATCGGGTAGAAACACAATGCGGATTATATTCACACCGTACCATCAAAAGTCTTATGGATAGACCAAGATTTGCTTCGCTCAGCATAAGTTTGAAGATCTAAAGCTTAACGAACATTCTTTAAAAGTTTTTTAAAAAAAATTTTCATCCAAAGTTGAATTTTATAAAAATCACAGTCAACTTTTGTTTTAAAAAATTCGTAAGAAAGGAAAGTTTTTTGCCATTTCTGAAGCAACGGCTGTTCTTACCTTGCCCAAAAACATTACAGCTCATCTATAGAGCAGCACGGATCAAATGTAAAAAACTAGAAGTCTCTACAATGTCTCGTTATTGAGATTTCTTGCTGATTAACTTGCTTGCTTGCTTGCTTGTTTGCTTACAGAAAGCGTATTTTGCGATTTTCTCAGCAATGCCACAACCAATTTGAAATCTGTTTTTTGAAAATGATGTAAAATTTCAGGCACAAACTTTTCTTCTTGGACCTTTTACAACCAATTTTGCTTTGTTTTCTTACAAAATGCGAAAAACTGATTTTTCAATCTGAACAAAACCAATAGATTCAAAAAATTTTTGCAATGAATTCAAGGTTTTTTATATTCACACCGTTTTCACGTGTGAATCTATTTGTTTTGTTCAGATTGAAAAATCAGTTTTTTGAATTTTGTGAGGATATGGAGCAAGATAGCTTAAAATGTTCAGAGATGGAAAGTTTGTGCCTGGAATTTCACATCTTTAATCAGCAAGAAATCTCAATAACGAGACATGGTAGAGACTTCTAGTTTTTTACATTTGATCCGTGCTGCTCTATAGAAGAGCTGTATTGTTTTTAGGCAAGGTAGGAACAGCCGTTGCTTCAGAAAAAGCAAAAAACTTTCCTTTCTTACGAATTTTCCAAAACAAAAGTTGACTGTGATTTTTATAAAATTTAACTTTGTATGAAAAAAAAATTTTAAAAATCTTTTAAAAAATGTTTGTTAAGCTTTAAACCTTCAAACATATGCTGAGCGAAGCGAAGCTAGCTTTATATCTTCAAACTTATGCTAAGCAAATCTAGGTCTATCCATAAGACTTTTGATGGTATGGTGTGAATATATCCACATTGGGTTTCTACCCGATACACTAGTTCAAATTGCTTTCGGGTAGACCCTCTTTAATTTTTTTGTTGAGGAAAATTATGACTGCCTTATTAATGAATTGTGAATTTCAATTTACTCAACACATTTTTGGATTATTAGAATGCTTCATTAATGATGCAAACTCAATTTTTCATCTTTAATATTATATTAATAGTGTCACACGAACCGAGCTTTGTAACTAGAAACGGTGTTAAACGGAAAGCCACTGAGGCCATACTTAAAATATAACGATTTCTTTGAATTTAAAACATTACACTAAGTGTACTCCTTTTCACAAGAAAACCACTCAAATTCTCACTTTTGTTACCTCAAATTATATCCTAAGTGTTGTTTACATAATAAATTAAGTCCCCGTGAACCTTTGCTGCTTCTTTTTGCATTCTATTGATCTTATTTTTGGTAACTTTATATTTTGTTTTCAATGTGTTAGTGTGTTTGAACGAAAGTTTAAAAAACATTTATCGAAAGCAAAACGTGGCTGAACAAAATTTTGACAATTTAAATAAATGCTTAATTAAAGTCCAAAATGAATCGGTAAGTGAATAAATCTTTAACTTATGATATATTTCTAACGAAGAACATTCAATTTAAGTTTGATTTTGGCTGTTTTGTTGCTTTTTTTGGTAATGCCAATAAAATGCGAATTAAATTTTGGTGAAAACGCTTTTGCATCAATTAAGTCATTTTTTGGATTTGATGAGAAGCCATACATCCCAACAGGAACCAACCAAAATAATGCAGCTTTTATTGAATCAAAAGATGGTTCATTCCAATGTCCAAAGTGCTATCCATCAAGTGAAATTAATTACCTGGATGAAATTAAATTGAATACAACTGAATGGAAGTGCATCGATATAGTTCTTCGCAATGCTACAAAAGATCATGGAAACTTTACAAGCTTGTTATTGACTGCTACAGGGAAAAAAGTTCTTGACCAAATTATGGATTGTTATGCTGTTAAATCTGAAGACATCGACTGGTTTGGCTGGTGGCAAAACTTTACACAAAGTGATTTCTGGAAGCTCGTCACTGATCATTATTGGTATATAATCATTGCTGCATTAATTTCTCTCGTTGTCATCACATGCTGTTGCAAGCTGTGCTGTGTGCTTTGCAAGAAGAAGCGCGATGATGACTTTCTCGAATAAACATCGATACGCTAACTAAGCAATTTAGTTCTTTAAGTTTTGATACCTTTAATTTTCTCTTTATATCTTAATTACATTACGGTATTTTTCTTCATTGAAATGTAAGATGCATTACTGGATTCCAAACAAAAAAAAATATCAATAAATCCAATTAGATTTTCATAAGTAATTCATGTTTAACATGCCTTTAAACAAATGGAACTGATGACTAAAAGATGATCGTTAAATAAGAATGTCAACCACATTCATTTATATACAAATTCTGGACTTTTTCTTGTGGTTTAAATCCCACGTAATATCTTTTCATTCATCTGAGATCACACAGGAATAGAAATCAATTTGCGGTGTATGATTTCGGAAACATACTTCTTATGAAATTTAACGGCTTTTTGATATTTAAATTTTTAAAAACTTACAAAAATTTTGAATATTAAAAATGTCGTTAAAGTTTAAGATTTAAGATTGCAAAATTACAATTACCCAGAAACTTAATTTAAATACTACAAATTAGCTTCCATGCTAAGCACTCAAATCAAATTTAGCTAAAGATTAAAATCTAATGAACTCAATTTTAATTGTATGCAAAATAGATGAAAGGGTAAACAAAGCCATTCTCGTTCTTTGTTCACGTTTTCATGCATAAATTTCACAATCTTATTATTGAAAGTAATTCAAATTTACTATCAACAATCCTCAATTTGAATTTGCGACATAGCGAAATATTTAATCATCAATTGAGCTTGCTGTCCAAAATGAATAATCATCGAAATAGAAATGAAAAGAATTTGAAAGACTTCCAAAAATAATAATGATCGAAAAACCACACAAATTGTTCACATGAGCATTATGATGAATAAATGAAAAGAAAACTTTTTGGCTGACTAATTAAGGCATAATAAGATAGTCAAAAATGAAATAATAATGGAAGTGACTATAATTAAGATTGTGTACGTGCATCCTTAAATGGCACCACATTAAAAATTGCCTAATTTGTCCTTGGAATAGACACAATTAGTATTTTGCTTGAGGCTGTCTGGGAGTCGGTCTAGCTCTTTTCAAAATTGAGCATTAATTTGTAGAAAATTGAATTTATTAACCACAAAACTGCAACTTTTGCATGCTTTAAAACTTTATGGCAAGGAATTGAAGACAACTATGGAATTTTATGTCATATCCAACACTTGATTAAAGTTGAATTTTATTTTATTTAATTTCCAGAACACATATTAAATTAGAGTCCTTAGAGGATGCGATAGTGCTTGATAATCCAACAGAAGATTTACTACACGACAAGAGAGGCTGTCCAGCATATGTATCCCCAGAGATTTTAAGAGCAAATACTACATACTCAGGCAAAGCTGCTGACATGTGGTCACTTGGTGTGATTCTATATACAATGCTCGTGGGAAGGTGAGTTACTGCTTCTTTTAACTTCTTCTTCAATAAAATCGAATTGAGTCGATGATGAACTCATGAGAAAGTTGGCAATTCACGTCTAAAACAAAAATTACTTTCACAAAAGAACCAAATGCAATTGAATGGAAGTGAAAGATAAAAGAAAAGTTTTGTGTCTAATTTTACGACATCAACTTCCGTACCTTAATAATTTTTCAAAGGACCTTATCGCAGGTCAGTTTTTTGTCTATTACGGAATAGTTGTGTCTCTTCATGGGTGCCGGAAGTGTTCATAGCCTTGAAGTGCTCAATTTTAAGGAACAACAAAAAAAATAATTTACAGTTAATTTTGCACAACTAACGGCAAATCCCACGAATAATTGAGGCAGTAAGAATAATTTGTATAGGAAGGCGTCACGAACATTCTTGTACACAGGCACAGCAACAAAAAATCCTTTCAAAATTGAAGTACACAAAATTGATTCATAAAACACCAGTTAAGGCTGTATTTGATCACCTTGGCCTGCAATTCAATTCATAGCGCGGGTATGTCTTGGGAAGAATAAATATTGAATGATTGGAATGCCTTCACTCTTTCTCCATTATATCTGATTGTTGAATTTTATGTATCGTAACATTTGGATTTACATAAAAAAACTTCATTTCACTTCCTTTCCATTCATTCTTACCTTTCAATTTACCACAATGAGAGACTGAATAGTGCAATGTGGGTGAAGAAATCAAATGCAGATGGATCAAAAGGATATGTACAAAAACAGGATTAATTTTCATGTCTTTCTTATTCTCTTTTAAAACTTTATTCAAAATGAGAACTTTTTATATTTTTTAACGAATATTTAACATCTGTTTAGTATTTTTATTCTCATTTCTTTTGATTCTTTCCAATTTCAAAGCCTCATTTTCAATTCTCGATCTACGTACTTTAAAATATAAAGTAGAATAATAATAAGCATAAGGAGATGCCGAAGAAGAAGATTCAACCAAAATGCTCTCTTAAAGCCTGAAGGCGATGATCGAATGAAGAACAAAGCATAAAAATAATGCAAAAAATTCGAATTTCAGCATGTGGCAGGTGTAAAATGCGTACCTACGCTCAACAGCATTATTTTTTTCGGCAACTTCCATTGAAATTTCAAAACAGCACTTAACATGAAATCATTAGCTGATGTTAAGGAACAAATCTAGTTAATTGCTCAACACTGAGTTCATTACTCTGAATTGTTATGTCAGTTGGTTATGTACGATGCATAATGTACAAGCAGTTTGTAGGAAGTAGCAAAATAATACAGGAAGAACATCCAACGATATTATGCGACAACATAAAACAATCGCAGTTGAACACGAAAAAAAGCAGCAGAAAAAAGAAAGAAACATTTTTATGCATTGCACTTATTTAAGTGCTGTTTAATAGACAGCTATGTTGCCATATTACTTGATTGTGCATTATGTCTGTAAAAATGAACAAGAGTGGATGAGTAAGAAGCTAATAGGAAGTATAGCGCATTATAAAGGGCTTGTAGATTGAGATAATAAAGTCACTTACAGAACTGCTACAAAATCACATCCAATAACATGAATCCAGCTACAACCAAGACTAAGAAAGAAATCCATTAGCTGCATAATATCAGCATAGTCTCATAAATGCATGTTCATGATTGAAATTGTATTTTCTGCTGCCATAACTGCCGCGGTCTTTATTTTTCGCACTGCTGATGTGTCTGTGCCGTGCTTCCACATTTTTTACTCTCTTATATTTTGCATTGCAGTCGATTGGTATGTCGGAAATGTTTATGTTCAATGCTGATTTTTTGACGCCGCGTCAATTTTCGAACATCCAGAAAGAAACTTAAAAAGTTTTTTGACGCAGAATTTAATCGCTTAATTGAATGCAGTAAGTTGTTCTTGTCGCAGGATATTCTTATGCTGCACAGTAATTTTCATCAGCAGCTCTGAATTTACATTCACATGGAAATGCATAAATGCCTTAATTATAGAACATGAGCAGCACAAACAGCAACAGACATGAAAATTGAAAAAGAAGAAGAATTGAAAATTTCCACGAGAATGAAAATGAAAACGAAAGAAAAAAGAAGAAAATTTTCCTTTCCATTTTCAATTTTATGTGTGCGAATCCGTATTGCGCAACATTGCTGTTCAATGCGGTGAATTTGGAATAGATAGAGAAAGCATAAAATGATTCAGCAATGCAGACGTAAAAACTGCTTTCTCCAGAAATAAGAAGATTGCAACTGAAAATTATGCTGGCAGGAAGGAAGAAAAGGATGTAAACAATTACAGCAGTGACAGCAAGCATCAGTTCCATAAATTGGTTCAAAATCTTTCATGCAAAAATAACGAATAGAAAATTAATTCAATTTCAATGACTTTGTGCTGTGCTATGTGCTGGTTTGGTTAATAATAATGAGAATGATGAGAATTGGCCTCAAAGTTGTTGACCTCCATAAAGCATAAGACTCTAAATTAGATTAACATTAACATTACATCGATGAAGAAATCAAGAGTTGCTTTTTGCTGGTACTATTGCTGCTGTTTTAGTTTTAGACATTTAAGGTCGATCACATTTGCATTCATCTGAATATTTGAGTTAAAATTAAAGCTTATTGATTAAGTTATTTAAAATATTTTATTAATCACAGCAACCTTTGAAAATGACGTTATCAAAAATTCTATAAATAAATTATTTTAAATTAACTGACAGAAAGGCTTCAAGGCATAATTCTAGACAAGGTATGTAGGAATTTGCTTATAAATTAACAAAATTAGGTAAACCACAATGAGTACGTGTATTTAAATCACAAAGAGACATGAAAAACAAGATTTAAGAATGTCAAAAGTTGCTCTTTTGCGAATTCTCACATGACTTGGCGCTTAAACTAAACTCAAACATGTGCTGAATGTTTGCGGACACAATCTCATGTCTTAATTGATTATCTGAATTAATTCTTTCATCATAAACTAGCACGAATACAGGCACACAACGGAATTATTATGATCAATGAATTTTTTGCAACTTTTAATTGCATTTGAGATTTATTTGAGTAATATTTGAGCAGAATTGCTTACTTTTATGTTACAGCAGCAACAATTTACCTACTTTTTGAGTTTTCATATATTATTTATTGCCTGAATTTATGAGCCTTTTAAAATTTAATTAATTTTCTATAAGAAGCTATACAGCTATTGAACGCATTGGGTCAGGGAAAGCATCAGGGCAGGATGAACTTTTAATTGAGCTACTGAAGGCAGACCTGGATGTGGGGAAGATCCTGTACAGATCATATCAACACGTTAAGGATAATCGTCGAGCAGTATAATGTGTTTAACCGCCCATTGTGTCTGCTCTTCGTGGATTTCAAATCCTTCTTTGACAAAATTGATAGGGAATTGATGTGGCAGATTCTTGCTCGGTATGGCATACCTGCTAAACTCATTGACATCATCAAAGAGCTTTACTGTGATGCAGGCCTTCGGGTTTTGCACCATGGGTTAATAGACAATGACTTTGAAGTTCAGTCGGGTGTTAAGCAGGGTTGCATTCTATTACCTCTTCTTTTCAACATTGTCCTCGATTACATCATGAGAAGAGTCACCAGGCGTAGGAGAAATGTTTTTTCTACTCTTGTGGACTTGGACTATGCGGATGATATCGTTGGCATTACCGAGACAATAAGTAAGATGCAGAGTTTTCTGGATGACCTTATTTCGTGCGCCCGTGATGTTGGTCTAGAAATCAACATTGCGAAAACTAAACTCATGCGCATTAACCCATCAAGACATACGAGGGGGTCTATTCAGGCTCTGCATATAGGGA